TGATTTTTATCAGGCCTCACTCTGCTAAACTGCTAATATTCCAACAGTTTGTCAGCTGCTGTACCAAAAAAAAAAAAAAAGTAGGACTTGCTTTATGCAAATGTCAAGGACTTGTAAATCTCTAAAGTAAGACCTCCTATTGGGAGACCGCAATCTTGTTTTTCTGCTCAGAGTATAAGCCCCTTTATAACAGGAAACCTGCATTAAAAAGCTTTTTAAAAAGATGGTCACAAGTGCCTGAAGAAATCTGGGGGGATTGTTTAGAGGCTGCAGATGGGGATGCACTATGTCAGCCACATGGAGAGGACATCAATGCAATGTCTGAGTGTGGGACTGACTACACAAACTTCTGTGTAGATAACGCTATACCCACCAGAACAATGAGAGGCTTTCCCATTAATAAACACTGGATCACAAGTGATATTAAGGAACTGCTAAACAAGAGAAAAGAACCTTCAGGGAAGTAGACAGGGAATTATTAACATGAAGCCCTAGCAAAACATACTCAGACTTGTGTAGTTGGGAGTAAAGAAGATAAGAGCCTTCTGCAAAAGGATGGTCAGACTGATGGAAGTATGGATGACAAAGCAAATATACTGAATACATTCTTAACTAGGTTCGGTTCAGAAATAAGCTCAGCACTCTTTTCTCATGGCCAGAGACAAATGGACATCCCAACCTCATTTGACCCAAAGCTTCCCTCTCAGACCTGAATGTTTCATCTTCCACCTCTGCCATATACCCTCATTTGTTCTCAACCAAATCAGAAGATGGTGCTGCTCTCTTCACCTTTTACCCGAATGTCTCTAGAAGTCAAATGAGGAGGCAACTGGAGAGACTGAATCCCAATAAGGCACCAGGTCTAGATGATATTAGCCCCAGAGTCCTGATGGCATATGTAGAGTAGCTCTGTGTGATTCTACAGCACCTTTCCAACCATAAACTGACCTAAGAGACAGTTCAAATGTATGAAAGAAAACCTGCTTGTTCCAGTACCAAAGCTAACTACATAACTATATACATGTTGCCTGATATCCTATATCATGAAAGTCCAGAAAGACTCCTGTTGGTCCATCTGAACAAATAAACAAGCAGCTATCAGCACCAAATGTAATTCTTATTTCACTGTAGTTGAAGAGTTGGGAGTTGAAGATGCATTGTGAGGATCATGTTCTTTGATTTCTTCAGTGCATTTGAGACAATTCAGTCTTATTTGCTTTGTCAAAAACTACCGAAAACTCAGTTGGAGGCTTAGACAATTGCCTGGATCAAAGAATACCTGACAAACAGACCACTGTTAGTGAGGCTGAAGGGTCAATTGTCTAATCCAGTAGCTAGCAGCACAGGAGCACCATAGGGGACGGTACTGTTACTATTTTTATAACTGCATACAGACACAGGTCCATTCATCTGCGGAAATACTAAAATTACCCTGCAGTCAGAGAGTGTATCAGATATAGACAAGAAGCTGAGTAAAGGGAGCTGGTGAACCACTTTGCAGCATGGTGTGGAGACAATCATCTAAACTTGAATGTGAACAAAGCGAGGGAGGAAACTGTAGATTTCAGAAGAAACAGGAACAAGTGGAATGCTAATAATATAATTGGAGACGAAGTGGAGGTGATGGTGGAGAATAAATACCTTAGTGTTAGTGTGGACAACAAACTCGACTTGAGACGGACCTGCCAGCTGTATAGAAAAAGGGGTTCAGCTGACTGTACTTCTTAAGGAAGCTTAGGTCCTTCAGTGTTTGCAGCAAGATGCTACATATCATCTATAGGTCTGTTGTGGAGAGTACGATCTCTTCTTCTATCCTCTGCTGGGGTAACAGTACTAGAGCTAATGACTTAAAAAAGCTCCACAAGCTAATTAAGAAGATTGGCTATGTCTTAAGGAACTCCTCTAGAACCTCTGGAGATGATTTCAAAGAGAACGATTTTTAACAATGTAAAGAATATTATGCACAACAGTAAGCATCCTCTTCTGCAGACTATTAAACACCAATAGAATGTCTTCAGTTAGAGGTTTCACCAGATCTAGTGCAAGACAGACCTCTACAAAATGTCCTTACTGTCTATAGATATCAACTTCTACAACGATTTGGTAAAAAGAAAATCAGTCACTGCAACATTTTTTCCTTGGGGATAAAAAAACCCAACAACTTTTGAATGGAATTGAATGCAAAAAAAAACAGTTCAAGAGGTGTAAACATTTTACCAAGTTCTCAATAAATAGATCTTAGAAAAACCCAAAATACTCCCATTAAAGGACAAACGGGTCAGCTCATTCAATAGATTTGCTCTACTGAATACAGAAATAGTTTGAATGCTTTTAAATGGAAAAATCATACACCTAATTTTCTTGTCCAAACAACCAAATAATAGCTTTAAGTGGAAAATAATTATAAGTTTTTGTCAAGATGGGCATCGATGACTCAAAAATTTGCTTTAGGCTGTGATTGTGTGGTGTTTTGTTTGTTTGTCAGATGTTCATGTCATAATAATGGATGCAAGAAGAGTCTATGACAATAATTTGACAACGTACTGAATCATGTCAGCCTCTTGCATTATGCAGGCTTTTCATCTTAACCTTGTTAAAGAGCATAAACCAGTCAGGGAAAATCCATCCACTAGTGGATATAGAAATAGAAATGCACTATAAATAACACAAATGCCATATTTGTTGGCTTAGTCGCTGTGTTCTTATTACCTTTTCAAGGGAAGTTAAAATGGAAGGCAAGGCAAGGCTTTTCACAGCTCTAAGGTGATTCAAGTTAAGAAGATGAAAACAAACCGACCAGCTTAAAACGGTATATGTTTATACGGTGAAAACCAGCTACTTAGGGAAAAAAACAAAAAAGACATTTATTTTTTCTTAGGACAATTAAAATTACCAAAATTATTTCCATTAACTAAACTGTAAAATAATTTATAACTTTCATTTCTTCAAATGCAGAAGCTTGTATACTTCACCTTAATTTTTTTAATATGAAACTAGACTTAAATCATGCATATAAATATGCTAATTGATTGGGAAAGGCTTATAAAAGTATAAGTATGAGATTCTTATGGTATGGAAACCCTTTAGATAAATACTTAGACAAAAAGGTACAAAACGGGTTACATGATTTGCTTAACTTGAAATCAAAAATGCAACTAATATTCTTACACTGTTTAAACAATATATAGTAACTGTTAAAATATTGGACTAAATCAAAGAACTTTTAAAAGCTTCCTATTCTTACGTTTTATACAGTGGACAATTTTGTCCAGTGATTGTTTGTTTCCTTAGAATTGATGCACTGAGGAACATCTAATTACATTTTAAGGGTCTTTGAATCTACATGTGTTATTTATCTTAATTTGTAGTGTTTATCAACTTAAGAGTATAGGAGACTTTCAAGGGTTGTGTTTACCAGTTGGTAATGCAAAACTGCACAGGCAAACAAATAAACGTGGATCTCCAAAAATGTATTGTAGCTTGTGTGTCCAACGGTTATAAAACTATATTGTGAGAGCAAATTGATTTTTTTTTACAAAAACAATGCTTCATATGTTTAACCCAGAGTTGAACAGAGAAGTAAAACAAAACTGACACAGATGTCCTTAAATCTTTCCAAATTTAAAAGTGCTAAGTAAAATAGAGATTACAAAAAAAAATAAAAAAAAATACATGCCAGTTGGACTGTGTTTTTTCTGTCCGCAGACTTACGGTCAGCAGAGTACTGGACTGGGGGAGCGGGTGCTGGTTCCTCAGGAGGGGCGACTGCAGGTGCTGTTCCATTTCTTTCCTGTTGAGCCTTTAGTACAATCGCTGCGAGGGGATGATCCGGGTCCATGACCTTAAGAGGCTGTAGACAAACCAGACCATTATTAAGGCTGGATAATTATTCAATATCACTCTCAATGTAATTTTATTCAATAAGTGATCAAACAATTAGACACATACACAGTATATCTACATACACTATAGTCTGTGGTTACAGCATTTGTCACTGACCGACATTTCCGGGTGCTCTCGATTTAAACTGAACAGAAAGAGCCACAGCTCATTGGCTATGTGAGCTATGACATTCACCACAGACAGAAAACCTGCACTGCATGTAGGTTGTGCTTCTCAGCGGCTAAGTTCCAATACAGTCAATTTATGCTACAAAATGAATGTCAATGACAACATGACCAAACATCCCTGTTTTGCATGACCTGTTCCAGAAAATGTCTGATAGTTTAGGGACTAACGAATAAGGAAATGACTGTTGGGTGCACATTGTGTAAAAAGGTGGTCCCGTAGCTTCAAGTTGCAGTCAGAGTGGAAGAGTTTTGAGCTCTGCCTTTAAATAAGGGGAGAGCGCAAACTTGTCACCACCGTCAGACAGGCTTTCTCTGACATTGTCGGATGTGTGAATTTAAATTCTTTTGTTTTTCCAAAGCCGATTCTTGTCTAGATAAAGGATTGGTTCAAAAGCTACCATTGTCAATGCTCACTAAGCCCAAATTTAAAAAGAACATTGAAAAAATCAGGGCTGGAATCCGTCTATAAATCTAACCTAGAGCATACACATTTACATATATATATATATATATATATATATATATATATATATATATATATATATATATATATATAAAAAAGTACACAGAACATAGATTTTATTTTTACAAAGTAGCTTAGAGTCAATGAACACTAAAATTGTAGCCTAAAGCTCCATATCCCTTTTATATACACTCTGAGAAATAAATTAAACTAGGCAAAGAAAAAATATTTAAATTTTTTCCAAATAATCTAAGTTTCAGAGCTCATAACAAAATGATTTTTAAAATGCAAAGATGCTTAGTGTGTAGATAAAAGGAAAATTGCAGAATACAATGAGTCAGACATTGAAAGCTTGCTTTGTTGAGCTTACCTTTGTAAGCTCCTCTAGACGAGAACATTTCTTTGGAGCAAAAAGACTAGGATGAAGGTAGTTGCCATCTCCATCATCATCAGAATCTTCTGAACTTGACTCTGTTGTTAAGAAAGAAAACATTGCACTGATTTTGCTTTTTTGAGTGCGTGATGGATATCAAATATTGATGCATATTGCTTTGGGAATGGATTTACTGACGTATCCCAAACACATATTTCATTGGCATGAATCTTGAACTTTCGACCTTTTAATAATGCATTTGAAATGTTCTATGATCCAAAATCAGTAGGGGTTCGGATTGACATTGTGGGTAGCAGCAGATTTCCTTTGAGCTTAGAGTCAACATCCTATTAGTCCATATAATAGAGGCTTTACTGTTGACTCTGACAATGCAATTTCTTGTTTGTGGTAGGCTTAAGTCCTGGGTTCTCTCTTGAATATCTAAAGTCATTTTCTTTAAAAATGTGTATTGCTTTCAAAACCAGGGTCTGAATGTGGAAACCAGCTAATTTAAAAGAAACCCAATAAGTTGTACACACAAGTGGTCATATAAGCCACTAGAATCCTACAAAAGCTTATGTTAATTTTAAGGGGAAACTTGGTAATGGTAATAAGTAATTATAAATAAATGTAAGGACATATGAATAATTTTGGACCCATTGCTAAGATGAATCAGCTTTTCTCCTAGAAAAAAAGAACAGGGTAAAAAAAAAAAAAAAAATTAATTTTTTTTTTTTTTTTTTACCCTGTTCTTTTTTTCTAGGAGAAAAGCTGATTCATCTTAGCAATGGGTCCAAAATTATTCATATGTCCTTACATTTATTTATAATTACTTATTACCATTACCAAGTTTCCCCTTAAAATTAACATAAGCTTTTGTAGGATTCTAGTGGCTTATATGACCACTTGTGTGTACAACTTATTGGGTTTCTTTTAAATTAGCTGGTTTCCACATTCAGACCCTGGTTTTGAAAGCAATACACATTTTTAAAGAAAATGACTTTAGATATTCAAGAGAGAACCCAGGACTTAAGCCTACCACAAACAAGAAATTGCATTGTCAGAGTCAACAGTAAAGCCTCTATTATATGGACTAATAGGATGTTGACTCTAAGCTCAAAGGAAATCTGCTGCTACCCACAATGTCAATCCGAACCCCTACTGATTTTGGATCATAGAACATTTCAAATGCATTATTAAAAGGTCGAAAGTTCAAGATTCATGCCAATGAAATATGTGTTTGGGATACGTCAGTAAATCCATTCCCAAAGCAATATGCATCAATATTTGATATCCATCACGCACTCAAAAAAGCAAAATCAGTGCAATGTTTTCTTTCTTAACAACAGAGTCAAGTTCAGAAGATTCTGATGATGATGGAGATGGCAACTACCTTCACCCTAGTCTTTTTGCTCCAAAGAAATGTTCTCGTCTAGAGGAGCTTACAAAGGTAAGCTCAACAAAGCAAGCTTTCAATGTCTGACTCATTGTATTCTGCATTTTTCCTTTTATCTACACACTAAGCATCTTTG